TTCTAGTGATAAGGAGCGTCAGAATACGCCTGCCATTGGCAAGGGCCTTGAGAACCATTCAGGTGACAGTGCGATTTAGCTCAGTCCCCCCCCCCCGAATTTTGATGGAGAGCACCCCGGAGGGGACGAGTCCGAAGGTCTCCTACCTCTTTTCCCTTCCACTAAACCACACGAGAGGACTTTCGGCTTGCCGCATATTTAGAGTGCCGCCATGCCGTACCGACACTATACATTTGCAAACATACACGCCTTCTCTGGGTTCGAACCCAGGCCCTTCGGCACGGCAGTCAGTGACGCTAATCACTATACCGCTTTAAGCGGTATAGTGATTCACTAATCAACTAATCAACTAAGCGGTATAGTGATTAGTTGATTCTGTGCGGTATAGTGATTAGTTGATTCCGTGCGGTATAGTGATTAGTTGATTCTATTGATTGATTAGTGATATATTGATTAGTTTAAGCGGTATAGTGATTAGTAGATTCTGTATCAGGCCGAAATAGCTGCAATTAAAGAATCTTTAATTTAATGTAAAAATTTAACCAAGAGACATTATATACATATTTACTCGGATGCACTCTCTGTTTTAACGGCGCTCTCCAACCCGGAGCCAAAGAATGAGTTACTTGAAGAAATAAAGTTGTTATATCGTAAAGCCAATGAGAGACATTTTATAAAAATACATTGGATTAAGGCTCATATTGGTCACTTGGAAAATGAGAGGGCGGACACATTGGCTAAAGAGGCTGCCCTGGGAGATGGTTCAGATTATAATATTATAAATCCTGCAAGAAGGAAAATTATTGTAAACATGAAAGACTTTTATATCAAGCAATGGAATCAGAAATGGGAAAATTTAAGAAGACGAAATCTTATTTAAAGAATAATTAAGTAAGTGGAAAGATGAGGACTTTTACTGATATAGATGTAAACCAACTTATTACAGGACATGGAAGATTCCCACAATATTTAAAGAGATTTCACCCGCAGGGCAACGATAGATGCCTCAAATGTGATCTAATAGGCGATGCGGAACATTTCGTCGATATATGTATTCTTATCCGGGGAGTGAGAGCAAAACACAGAGTTACAGGATATTATGAAAATGAAATATGATAAACTATTGAAGTTCTTACAAGATATTATGGCTGTGATAAATAAAAATAAAAGTATTATAGGCATTGCACATTTAAAATATAACATTTAAAATTAAGCTAAAAGAATAAGATGGAGACATTTGGAAGCTGTGGTGTTTTATGTGTGGCTTATGTGTTGTTATTCTTTGTTTTTATGTTGTTAAAATTAACCAACTTTAATTGTTTGTCCTTTATTTTTGGTTTATTAAGTTAATTAGAGTGAATGAGCAAAGAGTTTTAAATAGCTTGCAGCCATTTGAACCTGTTCTTTTTAGTTTGTTGTGTTTCATTTTTCTAACCCTTTTTGTTAATCGGGGCTCGGGCCTGGTTTCACGGAAGATTTAAATTAAATAACAGGTTTTAAATTTATTGGATTAGTATGGTTAATGAATTAATTTTGAAGACGGCTGGCTTCATGGCTGCCTCGTTTCTGTGTTAGACGGGGTTTCCCCTTTGTGGCCTTATGGTTGATTTTATCGGCTAGGGGGGGGGGCTGGGGCTGCGCCCAAATTAAAACCGCTTTAAGCGGCTCAAATAACTGTTCTCGTCTTGAGCAAGCTACAAATTATCGTCGCGAAATCTGTCGGCCAGCTGAAGGTGGTTTGCTTAAACCGAGGTGATTATTGAGAGCTACACCCAGAAAGAAGAGATCGGAAAATTGTCGCTGTTGTTATCAAACATGTGTTATTGGGGTGGGATTACCATTTGGATATGCCTAATCTAAACAAAAGAGGTCATTCTAAAAATAAAAATCCTATAAAAGTCCTAATGATGCTGGACTTATGAATATCAAACTGGAAGAGAGACATACGAAATAACATTTAAAATTAAGCAAATTAGCAGCCTTATTTCGACATAGATTTCCAATAATAAATTATAAATATGCGCAGATTATGAATATGTATTTAACTACTGAGAAGTGATGCTTTAATAAGATTGCTGGAATTAATATCACTTGAATGGATATTCGTAAATATGTTACTTCCGTGTACGAAAGGGATCAGAAAAGGTAGGCATTCAGATGTTATAAACATGATGATATGGAAAATGTTGATGTATGCTGATATGAAAAATGTTTTTCATAGGTGAATTATCCAAACAAGCAAACACATCAAATTATTATATTATTACATTCAACTGTACTATAATTCATTTTATGTAATGTTACTTATTGCTGTACTTCTATCCTATGCCTTTTGTACAAATACTTTATAAATTTATTAACTTTCTATTTAGTGGTTATATACTGAAGTATTCTTAGCAACTGCACATTTGTTTTTGTATTTACATCACTATATATTTTTAAGCAGCATCTCTTTAAAGTTGCCTCTCTTTCATTTACCATAAACCTCTCTTGTATTGTAGTTTACACTGATGTCCAAAATTAAAGATACTAACTCATTTTCTGTCATTTCTGCACTTTTTTCATCATAATTCATGTCATGTTCAGTTTTATCTCTACCTATAATAAAAGAAAGAGTCTGTGTATCTTTCGTTCGTGCTGCGCGTAAGCCCGGGCTACAGATCCGGCCTACGAAATGTGGTATATAGGTGCATCTAGACAAGAGCCAGTGCACCTCGAAGCGATTTTTTCAAAATTCTAATCAGATTTTTTAAAAATTTTATCTTTTCGATTTTATCGCATCATTTTGAACAGTTTCATTTTTTTAGAAATGTGTTTTGGCAACAGTTTTTCATTCAATTGTATACTGGTCTGCTGACTGTTGAAAATCAGCACTGTTGCCACTTAGAAAAATGAGGGCGATAATTCTGACAGTTTTTAAATTTAATGTTTCTCTTGGATACCGGACGTTTGTTGAGAGAAGGCAAAGAGAAGTTGGTTAATTTATTTATTAGGATAATTAATATTCGTATTAAGGGATATTTTTTATTTCATTGCAATTTTGTTATATATAACACATTTTTTAAAATTTTTATTTATTTACTTATTTATTTTTTGATGAAGTTGTTCTGCAGAATGAAATTCTGAGCAGGTTTTAAATTTAACGTTTGGTATTCCCTTCAGGCAATTTTCCTGCACATTTAAAAGCCAGACGAAGACTGGCAGCGTAGCTGCTAGTTTACTATAAAGCAGTATGAACATATTGCTGTAATTTGTTTTTGTGTGTGTTTATTTAATTGGATTGCTGTTTTTGTGTATTGTTGTGATATTTTGTATTGCTTTAACGTAATAATTTGTATAATTGAAATTATATTGTTGTATTTCATATTGTTTAATTTGTTTAATTTTTGCATTTAGGATATTTATATTAGAATTTATTTTGCGCGTAACTAGATTTGTGGCCATGTGTTCTAAAATGTATTTCATGCATATATTTTAGATCTTTCATGTAAAAACTCTATAACGTTTAAATTGTTAAACTAGCTCAACTAGAACACTAGATATTGGTAAAAGATGTTTTTGACGAACTTTAAAAATAATTCTTATTCACAAATTGGCGACATCTGTCAATTTTCGGCCAACTTGGCAACTTTTTGAAATTTTGGGAAAATGCATTTTTGAACTTTTAAAAGCGATTCTTCCCGAAACTTCCAGATGTCTGTGCAACACCACATAAATATGGCTTCAGCAACTAGGATGAGCCACTTAATTAATGAGATCTGATTGAGCTCGGAATTTTTCAGAAAAACTGCTGTTCAAAGAGTTAGTTAGCTGTGTCACATTTTAGTTTACTCAGTGAGTGATGGCGAAAATTAACAAAATTTCGCTAGCGCTAACGACGTTTTGCCTATTATTCACGTTCTCTTTGAGCTATTTACAAGTACTTATTTTTGTGTGTGTGAGTATAAATTATAATAAATGTTTTTCAATTTCTCTTTGCTGATCTGAGAGTGATTATTTAAAGAGACATTCAGGAATCCGTAACTCGCAACATAATTTGTTTTATTTTCTAGTTAAAGAATCTTCCGTATATGTTTGGACAGCATTCAGATTTTGCAATACTCCAGAGCTGGAGTCATTCATCGAGCAATGGGCTCACGAAAAAATAAAAGTTAAACGACCGAAGGAAAATCAGTGCGCTTTACTGGCTTTAGAGTTCAAACCCGATGGAAGCTTTCAATTTATTCCAGTTCATTCTCCTCTATGTAAAGCATCCTATGTTTGTCAACAGAAAAGATCAGCGAAGGAAGAAAAGGAGAGAAGCAAAAAGAGGTAATTCCTTATCTTTTCAGCAAGGAAAAGATTTTAAAGTCTTCTTCTAGTTTAGTTCCGTACTCGTTTACTTCCCCCTCATTTAAAAAGTACTGTATGTGTAATGGGGTCTATAAATTTAAAGAAACTGAATATTCATTACAGTTATGCGCTGTTACGCATTTAACATTTACATATATAAACATTTAAGTTATACATAAATATTTTTGCAGCTTCGAAATTTCCAGTTTACAAATGAATTAATGAGGCAAATTCTCAGATTATGAGAATTTTTGTTGAAAACTAGTATTCTTTAAAACTTTCTTTGAATCAAAAGGTGAAAGGAACAGTTATTCAGAGGTAAAAATCTGATGTGGGCACCACATAACTTTCTTATACACCAATATATGACGGCCTATTAAATTATGCGCACTTTTTACATTTGTAATTGTTCACAAGCTGCCATTGGAAAAAAAAATATCGCAAAAGCACATTCTTACTGGAAGGTTCAAGAGGTTCTGAATAACCTTGAAAACTGTTATCATGCAATTTTATATAACTTACGCTCATTCGTATTGTTGTCTTATTTCTAATAAATTTGAACCTCATGAAATTTCTTAAATACTTTACCGGAAGACATTTTATTTAAATAAATGAATAAAAATAGTTCTTATTAATTTTTTCTTATGTGTAATTTAAAATTTTTGCAGTACATCTTCTACAGAAACAAGCAGAATTTCTACATTGTCTTCAGTAACAACATCTAATGACGAAGATGCCACGACCTCGTCAAAACCAGGAAATAAAACACCTAGTACTTCAAGCTTATTACCTAAGCCTCTCTACTGTATGTCCAAAGAAGCTTCTTACGGGAATACTTCTATCAAATGGCCGACAACCAGGTTAGGGGAAAAGGCTGAAGTTTTATGTCCGAGAGGGAGTTTTGGTAAGGAAATCGGTTTCTTCTTAAATACCTAATCTAGGTTAAAATAATTCGCCGAACAAAGATTAGCTTACAAGTCAAACAAAATTTAGAGTTACATTTGCAAATTTTCCAGGACTAGTTTCGATTGTTTTAACGAACCAACTTCCTCAGCTGCCAAAGTGCAAATGGATTGCAGAGTGAGCAGAATGCTTTTGCAGGATGAGGAGAATGCTTTTGCTCAATCTTAAAATCTGTCGAATTTTTCCCCCTCTAGCTGCTTTAATATTTTTGTGAGATATTTTTGAATCCCCCTGTATATTACTTAACCACATAATATATCCATGAAGTGCGTAAATGCGATTGTTTTTTGTCATATTTAATTACTCTTTGTTTCCTGTGATGACACTGAAATTTCTATTTCAAATGGAATTCGTTATGTTTTTACTTCATACAAACTGTCTAGATTACTTTTTATAGTATTATTATTTACCAGAATATAATAATGCATATTTGATTTATATTAAGACTGAAAATCACGTTATACCCACAAATAACAGTTGAACACATCATCTTCCATTTCTCAAACATAATTTAATCGTTTTAGCCATCTGTTATTTCTATAAATTAGCGTTAAACACATATTTTAAATCACTGAATTTTTTTCCTAGGCTTCGCTTCTAGGCTATGTAACAAAGATACTGGAGAATTTGAAGAAAATCCTGAAATAAACTGCGAAATCTTTTCCTGTTCCAAGCCTCCGGTAAGTACAGAAGAAGTTGCATATTATCATTAGACAAATATGCCCCCTACTCTGTAACGAACTAGATAAATGAACGCGTGATAAGTGTTACAATATGAATTAAAAGGGAATTAGATTTAAAAAGTACAGAATAAATCCAACTTTAAAGATGTATATACAGGATGACCCAAAAGTCGGTTAACATTTGAAAATTCAATAATTCACTGTAACATAGGTACAGAAGTAAAAACAAACACACACGCTTGAAATGTCATGGGGTTTTTATTGAAGGTAAACAAATGGCTTAAAACGGCCAACAGATCGCGCTTCATATGATAATAAAAGCAATAACTAGCATATAAATTGATTTTTAGCAAAGTGTGAGTGACAAAGTAGCAAAGACTTTGCCAAACCATGTGTGCAGAAGATCTTTAACAGGTGTAGCAATATGGGGTGAAGCGCCATCCTGCATACCTTAGAACAGGTGTTTATCAGCTAGACTAAGGATGAGCGATTCTGTAACATATCAGCGCACCTCGCACCCTTCACACTGACAGTTTGAATAGCAAAACCATGCATTTCCTTGAAGGAAAAGGTTGCGATCACGATTTATGTGGTAAACCCACATCACACAGTGCCCTAGCACCCGAAGACGAGGCTAGAAAAGTAAGAAAGCCATGGGAAGGGATTGAATCCTTCTCTCACTGCAGCTCATACAAGATTCTCATGCGACGTCACTCACACTTTGCTGCCCAGCGCCATATTTTGGCCCTCTTTTGGCAATTTTTTTTCTTTCAGTAAAATCTTATGTCATTTCAGCTTCGTTTTTTCTGATAGTACCATATTAAAGGTAACTTTCAGTCTTCACAGAAACGATTCCGCAGACAAAAGCAATAATATATGCGTATAATGAAGGAAAACTCACAATTAAAAAGACTCGAAGTATTTACTACATCTTTTCCATAAATTTATAAGAATAGTTCAAAACGGATACAAGTTTTCACGCTATAGGCACAAATCTAGTTTCTATTTTACATTCAGTTGCTTGTCGTTTGCCTTTTGAAGCCAATGACACTAACAGCAAAATCATTATATCCGAAGCCTGGAGAAACAGAATTTTTTTTAAAGCCCAAAAGAGCGTTAGCCCAGAAGTGACGCTCCGTACTCCCTGCGGCTAAAGTCATAAATGCTTTACAAAATATGAAATAGATAATAAAACAAATTCCAAATTTGGGCTTCCAGATACCCATATTCAGGTGGAAACGTAATTTATTCAAAATTTGATGGCTATAGGTACAGTTGTTTATAACATTGCAAGAGACATACATACATTTAATTTCTTTAAATATAATGCAGGGGGATAATGTTTGGTGGCAACAATTTAAAAAATGATTCGCCGTTTATAGTGAATGAACGCAAAATGCCGAAACGAAGATAATAGCCCTTCTGGGCAAATTGTTCCTTTTGGCTTATAAAATAAAACTTTTCATAAAATAATCCTTTACCTAAAACTAATAAAATAATGAACGAACTAAAAGGAGAAAAATAATTTGTTGCATAACTTAATAGGAACAAGAGATTCAACAATTATAGTTTTAAAATTCATCTGCAGTTTTGTATTACGAATAACAAAAGCGTGCGCGCCTAAATAACGAACTCGATAATCAATTTTTCCATCAAAAATACAAACCATTTCCCTAATAAATTTATCAAGGGAACCCGATGAGTTTATGTCTACTAGGAATGAGTTATACTGTGATATGTAAGTGTTTTAAACATTTACTTTATCTGTTACTTTGTTTGAACAATTAGCGAGCCTTGTTTTTTATATTCAAACTGAGAAATTCTATTAATGTTAAATAAAGGAGTTTCAACATCAACTTCAGAAAGTTCATCTTACAATCTGTACTATTATTTTTTCCAAATTTAACTTTCAACACCTTAGTGGCGCATTTAAATATATGAAAGTAGCGTATATCAGTGAATATGGTACTGGAGTTTACAAAAAGTTAAAATTATCTGCTCATGAAAATTTTCCTAAGTTTTTAAAATTCTAGAGGAATGTATATTATAAAAGAATTCTAAGGGCGTAAAGTATGTTTTTTCCTTATTACTAAATTACTAGTTACACAGTTTAAATGTAGTAACAAGTGACATTGTCTAAAGAATCAACGTGCGATGAAAAATTAAAAGATGAAAAATTTTCGTTGTGGAAGCTTCTTGTGACTTTTCAGTTTTAGTGAGTTTTAGCATGCGGTCTTCTAGTGGCATAATATTTGGCTGCTCTAAACCAGTGGTCTCAAACTGACGGCCTCAGAAGCAATTTTATGCGAGTCAGAGTCACTAACCACTATCCTTGTTGGGCGATTCTAATTTTACATTATTTTCATTACCAGAAATGAATATCAGTAGCGCTCCAGAAAAGGAGCTGCTTGATTTACTCTGTGATTTAAATCGTATGCAAAGATTTGAACATAAAGATTTTATTAACTTTTATGAGTAACTGTCAAAAGGCAAATTTCCTTTCTTACGAATTTTTGTAATAAGAATAATCCCTTTATTTGGGAGTACATTTACACGGGAACAATTGTTTTTCGTAGTTGGAAATTAAGAAGTCTACAAAAAGAATCAGTTTTCGGTGAGTATCTACAATTTGTGATGAAGGAGCTTTACAAGAATTTTCCTTCAAGATTACAAACTTTATTAAAATCGAAACACCATGAGGTGTACTAAGGAACAAAAACGTTTATAATTATTCCCATGCAAATATGCATTTTGTTTGTATGGGTCATAGAAAAATGTAATAAATAAAAGAAAGAGGATATATAATCATTATTTAATTCTCAAGTTTTGTCCATTTTGTCAAGTTTTTGTGTATTTAATTTAAATTTAAGTTATTTAATGTTTTTATTATTTATAAAGCTTTCAGTATGTTTAAATTACAAACTGTGACCAACAGAAATTTATAGCAGATACCAGCCTTTAGATTTCAAGCAGAAAATATGCATAAATTTGAATTTTTTCTTTGCGTTATTTTTATATGTATGTTTTGACAAAGGTGTAGTACAATTTTTTTAAATTTAGTTAACAGATTTTGTTTTGTTTTTAAAAAAGAATTCTGTCTCTTTTCTTATTTTTTACTTTTATTTATTTATTTAATTATTTATTTACTGCTGCTCGTCAGCTACTTTCAGATCGTGCTTTTGGTCTGCATGAAATTTGAGTTTGAGACAAGGGGGTTAGATTAAATAGAGTAAACAGTCATCGCAAAAGTGAAATCAAGAAAATGTCAACAAGGTGACATCACGATTTATCATGGTCGCCACATACGGAAGTTAAAACAGACTGCTAAATAAAATTACATACACTAATTTTGAGAGCCCAATATCAACTTCCGCAGGTTTAAAAAAGTGTCTTTAGGCACAATTTGCATACAATACCATTGACTCAGGTTTTACTATGTATATATTTGTCTTACAGTTACCATCTACACATTTTAATGTATCTAGATTTTATTAAATTTCACACATTTACTTGCAGTCCTTGCGAGTTTTCTACATAGCAAGTCAAAAATCAATTATTTAAATATTAAAATTAGAAGACTTATAAACGATCAGTGATGTATAGCTAATATACAAACACCACTAATTAGAATGTAAACAAAACCAAACAGAAGTTCGCCTATGGCAGCGACCATGATAGGTCGTGAGATGGCATTAATTTTCATTGCATTGGACATAAGGAGAAGGTTACTCCATTTATTCTAACCTCCTTGGTTTGAAACCACTGAGCTAGACTTTAGCTTTTTCATAAATTTAGAAGTCTATATTATAACATGATGAGTTTTATTATTATTCATACTATTATATGATGGAATGTTTTCCAAAATATCCAATAATTCCGAACTGTTGAGATATATGTTCTTAAAATGTTTGTTCCCGTTTACTTCCAATAATTCAGCCCGAAAATAAATCAAGTGAAAGTTACAAGTCTTACATGGCGGAATATTTAAAGAAATGCCCAAGCAGCCATTCTGAAAAAGAAGTATTAGATTTTATGAATGATATGGAAAAAGAAAGAAAGATAATGGAGAGGAATGCGTCATACGAAAGAAAAACCGCATTTGTGCGAACCGCAATTGAAATCTATGACAGATTCCTTGATGAAGATACTTCAGTATGGCAAAATATCGGGAAAGTAAGTTTTTCTTTTTAGCTAAATAAGTCTATATTATAACAAACTAAAATTTAATACATTAGCTTATAGAGACATTAGGTTTTTTTTTTGAAAGCAGGAGATGTGAAAAAATGAGCAATGCCCTCTCTTTAATTCGAACCACGGACCTCTCGAATACGCGCCGAGTGTGCTGACCACTACACCACGAAGGCATGCTAGGAATTGGGCGAAATACCTTATAAGCTTAGTTTAAGTACAGGATAGTAAGAAAAAAGAATTTCATAAAAACTTAAGAAATGTTTTTACTATTTAATGATATTGAATAGCAATGCTTAAGGACAGTAAGATGACTCAGGCAAAAAGCATAGAAATTTTCATTTTATAAATGCGTAAATGTTATGAAAGTAAAATTTATTGGTTAGTTAAAGTATTTTCTTCATGAAAATTGTGTGTGTTCTCATAACATTAATGTATTTTTTACCTTTCTGTGTGTGCGTGCAAACAGAGATCTTAAAACTATATAAAACTATACCTCGCTTTTCCTGGGAATTATGAGCGATATCTTCCATCGCTAGCTGGGCGTGAAAACGACGACTGAGAAAAATGCCATTAATTCCTTTTTTACAGTATTAAAACAAAAATTTGGTTTTTACTTTTCAAAGTTACATTTTTGAGAATAAATCTGAAAAGATCTTTCATACAATAGATATCAGATGCTTGATCATATATAAGAATCCATTAAAATGTTTTATTATCCAAAGAAGCGCGTTAAACTCATTTTAGAATCTTTGCTAAGTCGTGAAATCAAGGCTAAATGCAAAAGACAATACATCAAATAACTCTCTTAATTTCTAACATGGCTTCAGTGTGAATTTATAAAAACAGATGTGTGAAAAAATAGCGAAATCAGAGCCACTAAGTTATCAAAGCCAAAGGAGCGTATAGTTCACAAGAAGTTTACTGTTAAGTTTCATAAACATTAGTTCATCTAAATTATCTTTTATTTGATTTGTTCATAGTAATTTGCATATTACTATAAATATTTATTCTCAGATCTTTTCCCTTAGGAAAAACGTGTTTCGATGTCGTTGGATCTTATTAAAGCAACTGAAGAAACAGCATGGCTAATTGCTTGCACTAATACTATAACTGCTATGAAAGAAGATAATATAGGTAAAATTCATGCTTTAGCTGCCAATCCGATTACATAAAAGTACGATATTTCTTAAGTTTCCGAGCGTAACTATAGCTAAAAAATAATTTTCAAAGCAAATATGAATGCTTCATATCAGAGGAATTTCCTAGAACTGCTTTTTAATGAAACCACTGAATCACAAGCTCTTTCAAGGAATGTGTGTTAGCTGTGCTAAGCTATAGAATGTGCTAAGCTAACACGCAGGAGTGTGTGAAACTCATTCACAGTTGAAATGTAAAAATTATACTAGGCATTAGACATAATTTATTTCTTTTCACTAATAAAAAGGCCTGTTTAATATCTCTCATTTCAAACAAGCTGAATATGTTTGCTTATTCTCATTCATTTCTAAACTTCACACATTTTATTTTTACATCAAGCCAACAAGTAACGGTTTATATTTCTACTGCCACTTCAATTACATTACAACTCGTCTCAGCTTTCATATCACATTGTAATTCCTTTGCTTATGTTTTCAATTTTAATTTATCTTACTTTCCGTTATTAGTTTCTTATACAAAAAAAAAGGAAGTATTGTAAATGCGAAACATTTCGGGTATCATATTTCAACGGAATATACATTTGACGTTTCCCCTATCCATTTGGAGGATTTTTTTTACATGACAGCTGTACGTACGAACAGAATAAATACTCTGTTTCTGTAAGGGGTGGGTGCGTATAAATACACCCACCCCCTTACCCTGCTGAAAAGTTCTTTCATAAAAAAAGCTTGGATCGAATGCAGAATTTTCATTTTTGTTTAGTCATTTGGGGTGCCAGCTTGTAACGTTTTATAAAATATACCCTCTAAAACATTTTTTGTACCAAGCTCGTATTCTCTATAATTAAACTTCTCCATGTCAAAGCAGTCGTCATCAGTATTGGATTTGTTAAAATGTTTAATCTTCACTTTGTATCATTAAAATCAGGAAATCATCTGACAACAGTTCGTAAACCCAATCTAATAAATTTCCCGTTTAACAATTTCAATCAATAACAATCTTTTGGAAGTTCTTGATTTATAACTCAGAACTTATTCATGAATATTAACGGAGGAACTGGGTATGCAAACTGGTATACGGCAAAATTCCTGCTTTATTTCCTGAACTGTATATACGTTTTCGTTTTATTTGATTATGGCAAATCACACGAAGGCTATCTGCCTAAGACAAGAGAGATCCCGTTGTGGAGAGTTTTCTAAGGGGAAGTGGATCATATCCTCATTACATATAGAAAAACAAGAAAACGTTCGTACAATCAGCTTGTTCGCTTGGAATCGAACCCAGGTGGAACTACCAATCTTTAGCGACTGTTCACTGCTTAGCTGTGGGCCTGAAGTACGTACATGCACCATTTTTAAATCAGATGACATTTAACTATATGAGACTACTATGATTCAATTCCAAAATGATAAAATGTTACCAATCACTTCTTTAAGAAACACACAGAGTTTTTTATCTCCTCACTTAACACTATTCTTAAAAGGTATATGTAAATAGTCTTTGTAATTCTGAAGTTATATGCTACCATGTTAAAACTGTAGTTTTATGTGCTGTTGATAATTAGCTTATTTCAGTAAACTCTTCTCTTTTTTAATAAAGCTATGCAGGTATTTCCTGTAACGGAAAACGTCAATAAAGTTGCTATCAGCTTAAGTTCAACGGACGTGGGCTACGTGCACTTACCTGGAAACCTGAAAGCTAAGACTGAAGATATTTGTGAGGAACCTGTTCAAAACGGAGTAGCATCTGCATTCAAGAATATACAACAGTTGTTGTCTCCAGAAAACAGGTAAATGTTTCCCGTCTTTGAATTTTTTGGATCAAATAGGTAAACTTGTTTTTAGCTTATAAGTCATCATATTACAGTCAGAAGCTAATTTATTAATTAATTACTAATTCTTTCGGTCATAATCCATTTCATTTAGAGAAATAAAACATTTATTTATTATAGCGTTAAGATAGGGATATAGAAATGTATCATGCAGGCAGAATCATATTTAAACACATTTTCAAATAGAAGAAATGGATTAATGCTATTCATTAAATTTAGTCATGATAGAAACTATTATTTCAACAGTCATATTTTTGTTTATTTTAGAAGGAATAATTATATAGGTTTCATTAAAATAGTCGAATGTAAAACAACAATAATAGATTGATTTATCGTACAAGAGCTGACCTACTGAAACCTATTTACAAGCAATATCCTCACCTCCCCCAAATAACTGTTTTTAACTACACGTAATACTTTATGAACAGGTAACCATGTTTAGTGTATCACAGCACTTGTTCTTCAGAAGAAATCAACATAGGCCTTTAGACATTTCTCCTTTTGTGTGAATGATCTACGAATGATATCTACATAAACGTTTGAAAATTGGCTTTCGAACAGCTGATAGATACTTCAAAATCTGAGAGAACCCTCTGATACTTCAACATTTATCTCTCTGTAAACATCGTGAGAACCCACTGCGCGTACATGTTTTAATTTCCGAGATCTTTCACAATCTTGGGTCTACGATCTATAACTCGTGTTGAATCCCATAGTCACAGATTAGCGATCTATAACTCGTACTGAATCCCGTGATTCTAGATCTGCGATACTCATGCTGAATTCTATGACTCAAGATCTACGGTCTAATTATTCCTGTTGAATTGATCCCCTACGGATAATTTGCTAAGTCTTCTATTCGCACGAATAGCCTTATTCATTATCGGAGAAGACTAATAACAAGAATCAACGTAATATTTGTAAATTTTACAGGACTATTTTCAATGGTTTAAATACAGAACCATCTTCCTCAGATGCCTAAGTGCCTTATTCATCTTTGCATAGTTGGCATTTGTGGCAAAAACATGTTCTTAACCAGGATCGAGAAGATAACTTTTTCATTCACGTACCTTCTTTGGAAATTATTGCCCAATATACCATTATTACTTTCGAGAAGCATATGTTGCCATACACTTGCTTCATCCGACGAAGCACTTGCTTCATCCGAGACTTCAGTTGGTTGATAGTCTTCAACACTGAACTATATAAGAGTACACTGATCTTGTCTGGACGGTTTGTGTTTGCTGAACACATCTTCTAAGGCCTTTTCCTGCAAAGAAAAAACTCATTCTACTTGCGTTATACTGTATGAAACGGACATAGGTTATGATATACCATTACAATTACACATGCCTTTCATCACAGCTTATTGCAGTTACTGTCAGAAAGCTTCTTTAAGTTGATCTTTAATATAATCTCACTGACTGCAGATGGGATTAGTGTCATCATAAATGATTTCATTGCTTACAGACTTCAGAATTAGTTACAGTTAGTAGCCAATACGTACGCACAAATGTGCAGTTTTTGTCATAAATATCTTTTATACTATTAATTTCCCTTTATTTTCATTTAAAAGGTTCGCAATTTCTATCAGTGTACCTGTGTGCAACAATCTGATCACTTTTAGCATTTCTGACGGTATTAAGATTTGAATGGATTTCATTATTTATTTCATTTATAAAGTAATTTTTTCTCTCATTATTGAAAATGAAGCATAGGGTCTTGTTCTTAAAGTCTGAACCTGAATACGTTTCTTAAATGTTTCTTGAATTTGAATACCATTTCATTAGAACCAACATCTCTCAAATGTTCTGTCACCTCAACCTTGCTATCATCTTGGTGCGATATTCATTGTTGCTATTGAAGCCTTATGAGTCTTTTCCTGCTCTTAACTTCAGTTCTATTGTATTTTCTCTACATTTTGAGTCCATAATAATTATGGATTCTTTCCCACTTATATAGGATTATTCCATATTATCCCCAGTTGATAAAAGAGATATTTCGGTGCTGTTCTGTTATCGGGACTGGAGTAGTCGCCAAATGCTTTACTTAACTCGTCAAGAGTATCGTTCATATGAAATCACCAATGTTTACTACCAAAGTCGTTACAATGTTAACTTTTTTAAGAAAAAGTAAAAGAATGTCTTTTCAAAATTGGCAAAGAGAATGCGAATTTCAAAGTTGTAACGGTGATTTTGTATTTTTATTATTATTGCATTTACCATGGATTTGAAATTTGGACTTGCCTAATGGTGAAATATCTTCCATACAATTTCTTCAGGAATAAAGAATTATTCAGACTGAAAAAAAGTGCACGAAAAACCATAAATTGAATTTTTTTCTGATTTCTTTGTCAAGTAGTTTAATTTATATTAAAAATTTCCAATTTTACGAATATATGTTCTTATTGTTTTTCTTGGATTTTCCTTCAATTTAACCATATGGTATTTTATTTATCGTAATTTAAGTATTTGGTGATTATTTTAATGCTTCTAAATTTTCACCAGATCGTCACCTTTTGGCGATATCTTAATCCGGTTCCGATAACCGAACAGTATCGATATTTCTTCTTATTTTTATTTTTGTGCCCTACTTTATCAAGAGCAAATATTACAGAGCTTTAACAAAGTCTAATTGTTTTACACCGAATTGTTTTCTCAAGGTATGAACCAAGAATCCTTTGAAACAAATACAAGTCCTTTTCTTAAATATGAAAACATGTATTCTTATTGATTTAGAATTTCCTAAAAAAATGAAAGGAAAATATTATAAGGTATTTTCTCCCTACTTTCTGCATGCCTTCGTGGTATAATCGGAAGCATGTTCGATGCGTATTCGAGAAGTCCAGCTTCGAGTCTCGAAGATGACATTGTATACTATTTTCACGTCTCCAGCATCAAAACTCCTAACATGAATCTACAACACTAAGATCTGAAAATTGATTGTCTACCAATGTTGGAAATTTAATTCAGTTTTTAAGGTGGTGTTTCACTTTTATAAAGTCACTAAAACAAGGAAATGTGTCATTTCGAAATTTTTATACTAGTAAATGCATTTAAAATGATAGAAAATAATAAATACGTTATTCTATAAATTTCTTATTCTTTATTATGGAATACAAGGAAAATATACAAGTTCATTGAGTATATGAACGCAATTTCCACTTTTGATAAGTAGAAACATAGAATAGAAAAGTGACAATCTAGATGCCTGCTTTCTTCAGTTTGAGTAAACTTCAAATTTGGAAGACACAGTCTTTATTTTCATATTACACAAATTTATATTTGTATACAGCAAGAGCATGAAAAAAATCCATTATCAGGAATGAGGGGTTATGATTATAGGTGGATTTCCTATTTTCTTCTATTAGAGAAGCATGGCAACATCCTATATTTCTCTTCAGTTAAAAGGATAATGATAAAAAAATGTATTAATAAAATTAAAAAATATAAAAAAATGTGTATAAAAATTATTTAATCGGTATTTCAGCGCCCACCAACGGTTGAGCGATAAAGCCGATGATAGTTAATCGATTAAGGCAAAGCAACTCCTGGGCTATTTACCTATGGGAAGAATGCCATCGTGGAAGACTTCCAAGGTAAAGGTGTCTCGTATCTCTGTTGCACATGGAGAAAACCACGGAAATGCCTATGCAGCCAGAGCTTTTGTTGAGGTTTAAACTCGAATAAAGTTACTGAACACTAATAACTCACCCCAGTTCAAATCCAGGCGGACGGTGGGCTATATGAGTCTTTCCATGTTTTCCCCAAAGTTAACAAGAATTCCCTTAAAAGCAGGTTTTCCTTAAAACTCCTCTACGAAAGCCTCCCTTCCCATATCAAAGTAGCCCTCGCGTGTTTTGCCATAAGCCAAAAGAAGCTAGGTGGCATTTCAAAGTAAAATAATGTACTCGTATGTATATATGTAAAAGCATTATTTATTTATTCGTTTCTAAATTCTTTCAAAGTTTCCAAACCTACACCATAGCTACTGGTATAATTGGCATCAGCCTAGGAGAAAGTAATGATACTTACAGACTACCTCAAGGCAGTGAAAAGTTCCGAATTGTTTTGTACCACGCTGTGAAGCCTGTAAATGCCATCCCAAGATGCGTCTTTATTAACAGGACTCATTTAAACAAGTAAGCTCAATTTACGGTATATTTAAAAAAAATTCTTATAAATACCTATGATAAAGCAAATACTCTGAAACTTCCTACAACTTCATAAGTGTCCACTACATTCCTGACGGGCTACAGTGTACGGGATAAGTAATTTGCTAAATATAACTATAGAGATTGGGGACCCTATAAAAAGTTCGATTTTGTAACTTTTAGAACATCGAGATTTTAAATTTTAAAACGCCAAAATATGTACATTTACTGTGCAGGATGAATTTTAATGAATAACATAACGAAATACGATAAATTCTCAGAAGATAATCTGGTTAAATCTATTTTGCATTTATCTTCATTTTTTATATTTATTCTCAGTTTAATATGTCATTCATTCTATGAAATTTTACGCTAAGATTGCTGACATATAGCTAGGTTTCATTCTTACGTTTACATTTGGGCTAAGTAGTGTCCCGTTAACAGAAAAGTACCGCAACTTTTCCATCGCCATATTTTTATAGTGTAGTATAAAGTGTAGGGTTTTACACTTTAGAAAATCTAAAAAGTTCCTTGTAAGTTTTATTAACTTTCTAATCATGTATGAATGCTATCAAATAAACTTTCCTTTGAATGTATGTCAACAGAATATAGTGACTTAGAAATGTTTTAAATTAAATGTTTTAAAATGTTTTAATATAACAAATATAACTCCGAGAATTTTCGAATATACTGCGTTCGTTTTTAGACAATTTAGACAAGAGAGTTACACGTTTCCTGTTCTTAAAATACTGTGGTCAGATTTTGTTTATTCTTATGCTTCGTTCCTAAATGAGGTCCATTTAAGTAATCTCAATTCTATCATATAGTACATACGCTGTTTTTCATTCCTCAGGAACACCAGATATGGAGTTTGGGACACAACTGGCTGCACGGTGATCACCTCTAGTGATTCATACACAGAATGCGAATGCAATCATCTGACAAATTTTGCCATTCTCATGGATTTTACTGGTGATGGGGTAATACTGCTTGTATCTTATTACAAAACTTTGATATTCGTATGTGCGATTTACAGTGTTCTTTAGAGAGTCAATCTTAACAATGTAAATCAAAGATTATCTAGGTAATTATTTTGCTTCTCTCTATTTATATAATTTTTGAATACAAGTTAGTTATAAATCACGAGCCCGATCTCAGAACCAGTTGTAAATTTTCAGGTAATAACTGCTTAAAGGTAATACGCGCTTCTAGTTATACCCCGTAGGCACTTATAAATAAAGGAGAAAATACCTTTATGTACTTCTCCTTTTAAAAGGCAATTGGGATGGGGTGACTCAGTCGCCAATACCTGATTGTGACGAATTATCATCCACCATCTTTTATTTAAGGAGCCACTTGAAGAGTTAGTTTGAATTTTTCCGATGTCAAGAAACTGAAAAAAAATCCCCAGTGCACTTGCCTGGACCGGAACTACGGATCTCCTGATTACGTGTCGGATGTACTATTCAGTTACACCACGAAGGTATGCGGAAAGAAGGGAGAAAATACCTTATATCAGTATCGATCAGTATGATCGCTGCGGACAAAGCATTTTCTTTTTCTGCTTCACTTCTCTGAGTTCCAGTCACAGCTGGGATATGAAAATCATAATTGCCCTAAATAATGATTTCCTTTGCCCTTTTCTATATTACAGTTAAGACTTTATAACTCTTAATAAAAATTTTACTTTTGCAACGGCTTTCTTCCAGAATATTAGCCTCTTCTCTTAATCCTAAGTTGACGAATAATAGAAACAAATGATCCATAAGATTATCCACTGCAAAAAAGAAAGAAAAAAAAAAACAGTCAAATACCGCTATTAAATCTGATATATCTCAAGCAGTCTCGCAATAAGCATTTCCCAAATTATTTTTGCTTGACCATTAGTTTCTTGACTTATAGATTATTTCCAGTTTGGTATGTATCTTGTTTCAACAGGACTATTCTCAAAGTCTGGTGTTATGCTTATTCTTATTGAAAGGAATAATACACGCTTTTAAGACACAGAAAGATTGTGAATTTCGTTAATGATTAGTGGTTAGTTTATGCTTTGTTATGGATTATCTTTTCCACCTTTTCAAGGCAGCAACGTATATCCGTATATTATGTTTTTGGGGAATTTAGCACCCATTTTTCATATAAAGTTTTTTTTTGAGCCGCATATTTCTTTCTTCCTTTTCCCCTTTTCTCTCATACGAATAATGACTCACTTTGTGGTGATCCACGTGAAAAAAATAATGTTTAAATGCGTTCGCCACTCATGTTGCGACCGGCATCAAACAATCGAGCCATTAAAAGAGATGTGAGACAATATTCTTGCATAAATATTAATATCTGTATAAATGACTCCGCTAGACATTGCAAAATTCTTAACTTTGCGACCAGAGGAACATAACAACCTGCAACGGATCTATCACCGAAATGGCTCCATTTCAAGAAGATCATCGGCTATGGGTTCCACAATTCTTCTGATATCATGTTCAACTATGATGGATCAAAGGGATTAAAATACAACAGAAAAAAATCAAGTTATATGACTAATTCAGATTAAAATATTTTATCAAATAATGTCAGTCCTCATATTCTTATATTCTTAATTTAGATTCTTAATCTTAGACGAAACAATGAAAGACAAATTTAACATAAGAACTAACAAGTTAATTAAAACAAATCTCGCAGGACTGCTATAACAGAAACGCTATGCAGTACACAGTGTAACAGCTTTAAATAATATTAAAATCTTGTAGATTAAATAATTTAAATAGATGAACATTAAGGTATTTGTGAATGGCAATATTTGAAACCAGACTCGAGTTCCTCGTGCGACTCTCGCAACGAAGAATGTAATTTATTTTTAAATGATAGAATATGTTCTCTCTTCTTGTTTGTATGTCGCCATTTTGAGTGCTAAATAAAGTTTTTTTTCTGTGTTCCATCATTGGAGTTGCTTCATATTGCCAAAGAAGTATCACAACAGACATTTTCCCAATAGAACGTTATGACGCATATGCCGTGGTAGCAATGAAAGCATTTAAACATCAAATGTCGTGATTGGATTAAACATAATACATATTGTCTGTGACTGATGTTAAAAACTGGAGAAATAGCTTCTAATTTAAACTTTAAAAAAATCCCCAAAATACCGTTTTAAAGAAAGCTTATATAATTCACGACATGTAACTAAATATTTTAATCAGGTAAATACTAATCTTATGACTTTTTTCTTTTAAAGTTTAGCGAAGAGGACGAAAGGAATTTGAGTCTCTTGTCCCTCATATTCAGCTGTTTGTCTTTGATAGCTTTGACATTGACTATTACTCTATTCCTGACAGTCCGGTAGGTATATCTTTTGCTGATCTTACAGTATGAATGATTTATTGGACTGTTACTCACTGAATAATTGCAGCCACTGTTGGATCAGAATAGTAGATGTTTGTGGTAGATTACAAGTAACAATGTAGTTATTTAATCAACTTCAGTATTTAGACATTATAAAAATACTTGTCTGAATGTTTTGCTCTTGAACAGTATATAATTTAGCAATTAATGTTTCACCTATTGGCAATGATATGAATGTTCTACCAACAAAGAAAACGCTTTTCTATGTGAAATAAAATAAAATAAATTAAATTATCTGTTATTAAAAATTATTATTTAAAATGGATATGATAATTAATGCATTTAAGGGAGAAAAATCATTTCTCATATAATTTAATGGGGATAACAGATTAAGCAATTCTGTTTACAAAATTCCTGTACAATTTTATATTACGAATAATAAAAGTATGCGACGTGCATAATAAATTTAAAGAGGATTGGATTGGATTATTCAATTATGGCAAAGCACACGAAGGCTATCTGCCTAAAGTGAGGGATGCTTTCGTGGAAGACTTTCTAAGGGAAACTGGCTCGTATACACGTTACACATGGGTAAAACCACGAAAACGCCCATGCAGCCAGCCCGTTCGCTGGATTCGAACCTCGGACCGAACTACCAGCGTTCAACGTCTTTGCCTCTCTGCTGGTGGGCCCTAAATTTAAAGAGGTAATGGCTTATACTTTTGGCAATACAATTAAATCAATAGAGGAGCCATACGCTTTTATTATTCGCAACATAAAATTGTACATGAAATCTGTAAATAGAATGATTTAATCTATTATTTCCATTAATCTATATGAGAACTATTTTTCTCCTTTTGGTGCATTAATTATCATATCCATTTTGAATAAAAGCTTATTGTATGAAAACCTATTTTTAAATGTACTATTTTCGTCTCAGTTAAGCATTATCAATGATGAAATTTTTAGTCGTAATTAAAATACAAGCAATAAATTATAAGAAAATTATGAATTAAAGAAAAATAACTGAACATATTTCAAAGGTAGAAGAAATCTGTTTGAATATTCAGGTTAAGAAATTGGATGCAGTAACAGACTTACAAGTATTTTACTTTAAGCTAAAACGAATATCGCCAATTCGTTCTTAAGTGCTCAAAGATGGCAAATTCAAAAGCAATTTTTCCACCAGAAGCGCTTTTTTACCATCTGCCTCAGACTGCAACACATTTTTTTAAAAATATGTAGAACTTGTTTTACCATTCTTGTTTAAAAAAAGGCGAAAAGCTTGTTTTATAGTCTGGAAAATTTTAAAACTTTATATCCAATACATTTTTAGATGTTGAAATTTTAAAATTATAAATGACAGCTTGTCTAACAACTTGAGCAATTTTCAAAAATTCAGATATTAAGTAACAATTTTCATAAAATATTCGCGGAAAATTTTTTTCCCGCTCTACGCCGACGGTGTAAAACGGTAAATTTTTGATATACTTGGTTTATTCGTTAAACCAAGATATGTATGAAAAACATTTAAGCATTAAAGAAAAAAATCTAAATCGAATTTTGAAAATATCGCCTTCACATTTCATTGTCATCGATATTGAACTCCGTAATTTATCAGGAAGAAGATTCAAAATTGAGGACAAAATTCTTCCCACAGTGAAATACCATGATTGAAATAAATAATAACATATAAGCAAAATCTGAAAAACGGTCGCCCAAAAGGTTTGATAAGGTTTTTTTTTTTTTACCATCTAGCTCAGCTCGCAATTTACCAGTCTGCTATTACATTCACTCCTACTAACCCACCTTTTTTTCTGTATTTTTAGCTTTGTTATTAAGCATCATTTTCTTCGGACTTGCGCCATAAAATTGAACAGCAAAATTTTTAAAATTTTAAAAGTAGCATAGTAGTATACGTTTAGAACTTTTTTTCAGCCATTTCTCAGTTCATCATATCCATGTTCAGTTTTCTTACTAAGATAGCTTTATAAGCTTTATAAAACTTCTTGTCTTTTCATTATTAACGTTTTTATATATACTTTATTTATTAAATATGATGTTCTTGGCGCTTACACCACATAAAATTCCATTCAATAGCAAAACCAAAAACAGCATATCTTCAGAATTTCCGACAGATAGTCTCGCGCCCTGGTGATAAAAATGTTTTTTTTATCACCAGGGTGTTGATATATAGTGTTGCCACTGCTCACCTTGAATCACCACCCTATAGTGTTGGATATCAATATCTTTACACATTTGACCTTGAATCACCACCTTGAATATCTATAGCCACTGCTCACCACCCTATAGTGTTGCCACTGCTCACCTTGAAATCTTTGAGTTTGTTAGTCAAAACTTCATTAAAATTTTACAAAATATGAAATGATTATAAAACAAATTTGGAATTCAAAATTTGGGCTTCCAGGTGCCCGTGTTCGGGTGAAGAACTACGTTATTTAAAATTTAATGACTATAGGTAACGTTGTTTCTTACAGTGCGAGAAACATTCATACATTTCTTGCACATTCTTCATTATTTAATTTATTTTAATACAATACAAAGCGATGATATTTGGTGACAATTTGAAAGTGATACAACTCATTTAAGTGCTTTGACGCAAAATGTCGTTTCAAAACTAATATCTCATTCGAGACTAACGTCGCTTTTGGGCTAAAAATTAATAAAAACATTTTTCATGCTAAGAAACAAAGTTTCCAGTTTATCTTCAAATAAATACTTGCAGATATATTTTTACTTTTCTCCACAATTTATAGCATGACTTAAAAAAGCAGCATATACTATTTGTAATAACATTTTTTAGATAGGTCTAAATTTAATATTCGGATAATTCGCACCTACTTAAAATTAAAAAAGTATTTTAACTTGATTATACTGATCTTCTATATTAATTTTAAAAGAAATCAGGATAAAAAATTAATTATTATTTTAATGTTAAGCTAATTTAGCAGTACTAGATCATGGTGGTATGCTAGTGCGTCATATAATAAGGTAAAGTACAATACATACAAAGCATCAGTTCGAGCATGAATGATTAGGAAATTTCTATCTTTGTTTAGCATTAAAAATGATTTAAATGCTCGATATGTTGCAAGAGAATAAGTATGTCTCTTGTCTTCAGGCGTAAGATATCATTGGGTGTCTCTCCTTAAGGAATATAATATAATTTAAACACTAGTTGCTTTGGTAAACCACGAAAAAATTATTTTCCTTTAATATTTTAAAGTAAAGGACTTTTTTATTGTTGCAGATCTCTTCGCTGCAGACGCAATATTATAACCTGCAACCTCGCAATTTGCTTATTATGCATAAATATTCTGGTGCAATCTGGTTTGAAGAAAGTAGGAACTAAAGTAAGTGAGATCCGATGTCTACAGTACGTTGAAAATTAACAACATTATTTTCAATTTTTATTTTCTGTATCTTTCGGCAAATTTTATCTCATAATCTGCTTAAGAGGGTGGATGCCATCGTGGAGAACTTTCTAGGAGAAAAATGGCTTGTAGTCACGTCGAATTTAGGAGCATCCACGAAAATGCCCATGTAAAAAATCCATTCTCTGTTTGCCTCGCATTTCTAAAAGGAGGAAAATTTTAATAAATTGAAATCCAATTATGAAATTATTACCGGAGCAAAATACGTATAAAAAGGAAAATAAGCCAGTGCTATCCTTTAGAAACGTAGTTTTAATAACTTTACTGCGCAGCCTTTCGAGTGGCCTTTCTCAGTATACTGGAATGTTTTGCATCATTAATTAACCATGTTTTTAACGGTCCATTACCGTTTTGCATACTTTGTTTCTATGATATCTGCATTGGTATGTTATATTTCAGCATATCTCCACATATAATTGTTTTATGCATTATCATCTTACTGTTTCCATATCCTACCCCTGCATGCATATAACCTTGTACAGTAGAACGTTTTATCTTACGCCAGTCAGGCGCATAAGTGATCTAATGCACCTAGGCGTCCGAGTCCTTGATATTTATATTGACACTGGTGGACGTGGCGCTACACCAATTAACCATATGGTAAAGGGGTGGTGCCCACGTCCTCCGTCGCATGTCGCATGTCGCATACTTTGTTTCCTTATGAAATGATCTCGGTCCGATCTTTTAAATAATTTTCAAATAGTAATGTATTGCATTTTTTGAAATCATCTTTTTTATTGCTTTCAATATCTTTACACATTTCACTGCTCATTAATATTAGTGCAGTTTCAATATTTATCATAGAATCAAGAAATGTGCGATTGAATAAAAGGTCAAAATCTAGCAAATTGTTCTATTAATTCTACTACCATTATTCTATTACTATTGCTAATGATTCTATTGCTATTAATCTAGTGAATTGTTTACACTTGCTAAATAAGAGTGTGAAGATTTAATTAGTATTACCTTCAGTTAATTTTTTGTTAAGCAACTTTCCTTTCAGTCTCGTTTCTAACCACGCTTTCCTGGCAGGATGCTAATAAGCTAGCGCGTTTGTATCCAAATTGAGGTAAAAAGAAGTAAGCGAAGATTTTGAAGGTTTCAAAGCGTGTTATGCGTGCTTGAAAGCCGCGTTGTTATTCTGAATTACACCAGCTGGATTCTGTGGCTTTGAGTGCTTCTAGCCATTAAGCTTGTTTCCGCAGACTTCTACGAGTCAGAGCCTTCTTGCGAGTTAAGTAATCCTGTGAACTGATAGACTAATGTAATACATTTTATTTTAAGCTCAGCGTTATTTGTTTGAGTTAAACCAGAAGTGTTGGTTTTATGAAAGCCCGAGTGGGGCCATTTGTATTATGTTTTATTGAATAAAGGGTTCTTTACACCCTCCTTACGACTTTCTCTCAGCATAAAAACCTGAGGATAATTCCTAATACAGTCATTTAGGGCTTGTTAGTTTAGCCCAAGAGAACAAGACTCTATAACAATTAAAAGAATAACATATACCAGTGAAATGGTTTTCGTAATGCCTTATATAAAATTTAATTCCATTAAATGTTCGTGAATTAGAATCCAAATAACATTTTCGTATCATAATATTTGAAAGCTTTAGTTAAGCTTTAGTTAGCATAATATTTGAAAGTCTATTGTTTTTCAAATATGCCAAAAATAGAAATATCCGGTTAGGTAAATAAACTAATTAGTTTTGATAATTATTAAAGAACAAAATTATTCATAAGTTATATAGTCCAAGTAAATTTGTTTGAAACGTTTTTTTTTTAAATCAAAATTACAAAATATCACATTTTTGGTCTCTCCATTTTTAGTTTATTTAAACATAATCTCCGTTACTCTACCTGTAGTTCTCCGCTACTGAGTTATTGTTTTTAAATATGATGAAAAAGCAGGTTGTTTGTTCCGCCAAAGAAAACATGCTGTTAATTAGCACGCGGTACTACAAGCGGTCGATGAATACTACAAGCGGTTGATGAATGTGGAAGCAAACTGAGAAATTGGAGATTAGAAAAAAATGAACATATGAATAACTAAAAAGATGGAAATTTTTGATGGTCTTCCCAGGAATGGAGAGTGTTTACTGACGTGTACTTATTTCTTTTCTTAGCGGCCCACCAACAGAGGAACGGTAAATTCACTGAACACTGGTAGTTCGGTCCGAGGTTCGAATCCCGAGAACGAGCTGGCTGCTGGAGCATTTTCTTGCTTTTTCTCGTGTAACGTGGATGCGAGCTAGTTTCCCTGAGAAAGTTCTCCACGAAGACAATCTTCCCCTTAGCCAAATAGCCTTTGAGGCTTTGTCGCAATACATAAACCAAACCATCTTTTCTTATCTTTGCGGGAGGAGAATTTTCCATCTAAATAAGATTATTTTCCTTTCACCGAAGTGAGAAAGACTCATCTCGGACTAAACCAGTCTTAAGTGTGCTAGCATTATGAAATTACATACAAGTTCAGAAATTCGATCAATAACAATACATTTTTTTAGTTTAGTCGTCGGCCACGAGTTGGCCGTTACTGAGATAATATAATGTAACACACCATAAAATTATTAGAAATACTTCTTAAATGATATTTACGTAAATAAATGAGAAAAAACTGTTTTTAAAAACTATGTTTAAAACGTACTGAGAAGAACTCTCCTTCTGCATACATTTCATAACATCAAAAAATAAAATAAATGTAAAAAAAAAAAAAAAAAACTCATTAGAAATGCATGGGTATTGTTTTAAATCCCTCACTTTCCGATAAGCTCGGCGTTATTGTATTTTGAAATCTAAATTAAGTTAACTACGTGCAAGGAATGGAATAGTTTTTACAAACTGCAGTCTGAGAAGTACAGTTCATGAACATTGTTGGATAACATGATGTAATAAAAAGAAATTATGCTAAAAATCATTAGATTATAGACATTTCTAATGCTATAAATAAGCTTTACTGAGAGCTAATAATGAATAAATCTACTGGTTTATATTGAAATCATCGGGTTATTCTTTTATAAATTATTAGTCCTGAAACGATGACTAAGCGGACAACAGCAAACTGTTCATTTCCTGCAGTCCACTTCTAAAATTGTCATATTTTTTAATCCCCTGCTTGATATTTTATACATTACCAGTAAGCCTCGGAGTCTCTAGCGAATCGAATAAGCGAACGTTTAAAATTCGCTAAAGTATGAACAGTATCGGAGTGAGAATAGAATTAAAAAGCGAGAATATATCCAAAGCCGGAAATAATAACTAACTCAAGCCTTTAGTTCATTCGTTTCATGGTGTCATAAAATTAATAATATCTTAAAACTAACATAAAAACAGGTCGCATAACACAAATCACAAAATTAGATCAAAAAGATTTTTCTTTTTTAATTCTGAAAACTTTCAGATTTTATATTACTCCAAAAGGGGTGTTTTTTTAACGTTTTGTGCATTACCTTTATTTATTTAATATCATGTTCTTCGCGCTTAAACCGTAAAATTCAATTCAACACCAATATCGCAAAATAATTTTAAAAGAGCATATCTTTAGAATTCCGATACACAGTCTCGCGCGCTGGAGATAATTTTTTTTTTTTCGTACAATGTTGCCATTCTTCGTTTTGAAATGTTTGAGTATGTTAATCGAAATTTCGTTAAAGTTTTACAAAATTTGAAATAGATAATAAAACAAATTCCAAATTTGGGCTTCCAGATGCCCATATTCGAGTGGAGGATTACGTTATTCAAAATTTGATGTCTCTAGGTACCGTTGTCTTTCACAATGCGAGAAATATACATACATTTATACAGATTCTTCATTATTTAATTTCTTTAAATATAATTCAGGGCTCTAATATTTGGTGCCAACAATTTGAAAAGTTAAACTCCATTTTATAGTGGACGACGCAGAGGAAAAAAAAATAATGATAAATTTGTAACCTTTGTTTATAACACCAAGTAGTAAATTTTTTTTTTAAATATATGGATTTGCTTTGCATATCTTATGATCCAGATACTTTTATCGATTTACATCCTGAATATAAATAGTTTAAAAAATATTTAAAATATATGTCAACTCTTAACGTCCTGTAAACGAAAACACTGGTCAGCTGAGTACGTCCATGCCACAGACAATTTTTTTCTCCTCCTTTTCTAATATAAGATAGCCCTATGTTTTCATCATATTTGTTGTTATTTCACTCAACTGCAGCCAGGTTAAACAGTATGCAGGTTTTTTAAGCGTAAAGCGAATTCCTCACCCTTTTTGCCTACTGTTATTGTTTATTTCTTAGTATAAAATGAATTAGTTTTAACTTGTGATGTTATGTCTGAAAGAGCTTCATGTGCTTTCGTTTTAGAAAACATCAAATAGCCTTTTCTGTGGGCGTCGGTTTGAATCCTACTTCTAATAATATTTGCTTTTTTTATTAATTTATCTTTGTGATCAGTATTTCAATTTCAGCTCTATAGAGAGCTAAACTGATATAATTGGAAAAATAGATTCTTTTCTGACTGCTTTTGAGAGTTTTGTCCAGTGTCTCTTGTTTTGCTTTCCAGTGTAAATTAAAGCTGATTTTTTCCCTTGTATCTATAATTTATTTTTCTGTTAGTCTTGCATTTTTGGCATAGTATTTCGAAAGGCCAAGTTACTGTATATTTCAAATATCACTAGTCTAAAATTTCTAAAAGTACTTTTTAATTCTTCGAACATAACAGTTAAGTGAGTGGAAAAATTATTGAACACTGGCAGTCGACCTGGTTTTCAAATACAGGAAAGCGTTTGCATCGCTACACCGAATGACTGCATGAGAGGTTTTTATGGTTTTCCCATGTGCAAGGTCAATGTGAAACAACTTTCTTTAAAATATCTTCTTCTAAGGCATCCCTTTCCTATCGTCTTTGTGTCCTCTGTCGTAATCTAAGTAATCCTAATCATAAACCTTTATTGTTCTCCTACAGGCAGTATTATGTATCTAATGTTTTAAAAAATATGTTACCGTACCCGTCTGTGTCAGGATGGCCGAGCGGTCTAAGGCGCTGCGTTCAGGTCGCAGTCCACTTGTGTGGGCGTGGGTTCGAATCCCACTTCTGACAATCATTAACATTTTGGATCATTTGATAACCTAAAGGATCATTATTATTATTATTAATTACGAGTGTTACAAATGAAAACGGTTATATTACAACATTTCGTAATTGTAAGCATTCTACAATGTTATCTTTATCTGTAACTGATGAAAAACATATATTAATATAAAATACGCTTTTATTAGAAGCTCTTTTTTTTTCCTTTCCTTTTATCGCAAATATGCGCATTTTCTAAACTTAGAAGCTATTTCTTTTTCAGTTTACCTTAAGATATAAGGAAACACAGTATGTCATCCTGTATAAATGAAAAAATTATAAACTAACATATCATTAAAGCCATTTAACTTGAATGCTTTATTTTAATAAAAAGATTTAATATTTTATTGAGCTAATATTAACGTTTTCGAGTTGATATTAGTAGTGTTTTTTCGTATAAAACTGACATTTGTGACTGACATTAGTGATATTCCTCGTATTCGTTTTGACCACTACATTTAGGTAGATTGATTAAGGCAAAATAAGTGTAGGGCTATCTGTCTGTAGAGAGGTAGGCTTTTCTGAAGAACTTATTAATTTCACAGATACATGTCAGTGTAGAGAATCAGTGTATCGGTAGAGTAGAAGTAGCAGAATTATTTGGATCAAGTCCAGATCAAAAAACTGAAAATTCAAATCAAACGGAAATAATGATAATAAATGAAATGAAAAACTTTAAGATACCGATTGCTTTAGAAGAAGTTAAAGTTAATAATAATATTATGCCAGAGAGAAACAAGAAGTTTTAGATTTAAAATTGAGTATCGAGATTGTTTTGCAATAAATATGGAGGAATTTGGGGGTGTACAAATTTAACAAAAATGGATATTAAAGAAATTGAGCGGAGTAAGCCTATTTGCAGGAAGTCGACAATTGAGAACGCCTTGGAAATTTGTTTAATGCTAACGATAGATGAACAAATTCTTATGATTCAGCATTCATGATCCAGAATTACTCAAATTAATAGACATTAAAAAAAAAGAAAAATGACAGAACGAATGCAGAGAAATATGTAACTGAAAATTACATCTTGAAGAATAATCGATTGTTTCGTAAAGTAAAAGATCGAGAAAAGCAGAAATCGTTATATGTCATACCTAAGTCGATGAGAAAATGTATTCTAGCAAATTTTAACAATCTTTTGGGATATTTTTCAGCAGACAGAACTGTTGCCAAAATCAAGGAGTTATACTGGTTTAAAGGAATGAAACGTTATGTTATGCGTCACATTTCGATGTGTTTCGAATGCCTGAAATTTCGATGTGTTTCGATGCCTAGTGCCTAGTGGTAAGAAAAAAGGAGTACTGCATCCAATTAGACCTGGTAGAAGACTGTTTGACATCACGCATGTATTTGTAATAATTGATAATTTTACAATATTTACGCGCTTATCCTATGAAAAGTACTGCAACCACGTATGCATTAGTTGCATTGAAGAGTTTTGTAGATGATTTCGGGTTACCAGAAAAAATTATCAGCGATAGAGGGACATGTTTCACAGCGAAGGAATTTAGAGAGTACTGAGAAAATAATGGAATCAGTTATAGCCTCAATTCAACTCAATATCTAAGTGGTAATGGAATGGTGGAAAGAGCAAATCGAGCAGTTTTGACTACGATTAAAACGAGTATGGAAATTCCGACTCATAGGGACTGGAACAAAAAGATTAAGGAACGCGAAAGAAATTTAAACAATATGATAAATAAGACTACAAATAAAAGTCCTTTCGAAATGCTTCACGGTTATTCACCAAAATTCAACGACGGATTGATGAGGATGATTACAGCCAAAGATACAAATGAATGGGAGAATTCAATAATCTTACAAAATGAAGCTAGAAAGAGAATTGAAGATATGCAGATAAAAATGAAAGCAAATTATGACAAGAAGAAAAGCAATTCTTTAATACTCGAATGAGGAGAAATAATAGTTATGAGAAGAGTACCTAAATCAACTGGAGAATCAACCAAAACACAAACAAAATATCGAGGACCTTTGGTAGCTACAGAAAATTTACCAAGTGATAACTGTAGAGTGAATTAGAAGAGAAGGTGAAAGAACGTTTCTTTAGTACGACAGCTCATGTAAGCCAATTGAAATCATGGCAGTTTCAAGCTGAATCAAAGGAGGACGACGATGATGGTGATGACATTAGTGTTGCTGATAACGATAACAACGCGCCGCACATTACTAAAACTAGGACACGGAAGAAGAATAGAAAAGTGTGGTGAATCTATATGGCAGTTAAAGACTTTCGAACTATAAATTTTAATATTATAGATTTATTTTTTTAATTATAAGTTCTTAATGTTCCGAGGTCGTAACTAAGTCAGGATGCCCGAATGTAAACGCAACTCATTGATTTTATTTTAAATATATTTTATCCGACTGGCAACGAGAGAGTATTTTTGATGGAAGCCGATTTGAATGGTAATGTTTATAAAATGCGCAGAGTAATTCTGTATTTTTATTTGTACCGTCTGAGTGATATGTAAGTAATGCGCGAATAAAGATTTATTTGCATAAGTGAAGAATTTTTCTTAATAAAGGAAGTAACTAATACATGTATTTGGATCTAATTACTCCGTTTTACCGTTCAGCCGCTGGTGGGAGTTCTTACATGGAAAAGAGGTTTCAAACAAATAGGCTGAATTTCTAACTTTCTAAAATAAAGTCTCTGATTGCAACAGAAAATCTGCGGACCAGAAATCAGTTGCGAGTCTCTAAATACATTTGTAGTTATAATAAACAAAGATTTACATAAGCATTAGTTTATCTGAATTGCTGCAAGGAAAGATCTATTTATCAGCGAAAAAGAGGAGAAAAAGATGCACAAAGTTGAGTTCGACAATGCAGAGAAAGTTGCAATAAAAGACGTATGACTGTTGCAGGTTTTCTTGTACTGGGAAATTAACTCTTTCGCATCGAGTGCAGCAAAAAATCTCTTTCCCTCAAACATTTAAAACGCCCGTATAGTATAGAAATTTCTGAAGGAATAGATTTCCTTTCCCAACTCCTGTTAAGTAAAATGATACAGCATTAATAATAAGCTACTTAAGTGAAGTGATTGCTTCTGTCTTGGAGGTCTGGTCTGTGGTTTTCACCCACTGTGTGCAGTTTTCCCCTTGGAACAGGATTGCAAGTGCGAGCATGAACAGCTAAACGATGACGTTAAACAAAGGTGACGGAAGTCACATCAAAAGAAAGAGTAGCATGCCATTTAAGAATTTGCGAAACCAATGAGCCATACATTTCGGGCGTCCTGCCGATGTCTGAATGCACGGACGTTACGGGCGACTTCCCTGCGCAAGAGTTAAAAATGAGAAACGTGAAGGGAAAATGTTCTAATCATCTCATCTCACTATCAGGTTTTACATATGATATTTACAAAAGAAGTTTCGTTTCCGTGTCTGAATGACTGGCAAAGAATAAAATGACATTAAGACAAAGCCAAGATTTATACTTAGTATACTACCGCTATATTCCTTGAAAATAGTGAAGCCTGCTATGGACACTGTATATCATTTCAATATATTAGTGAAAAGTTCTCTATGAAATGGCTATGCTTTGTCGACTTGGCTAACATATTTCTGCAAAGCTGATATTTTACCAACGGACTATTGTACGTATGACGTCCTGAAAAGATCTCTTCCTAAGTCCAAATCTCTAACGACTGCTGGACTTCAGAAGATAGTCAAAGGGCAGTAGAAAGCAATAGCGCCGGAAGTTTTTCTAAAAGTACTTCCATCATAGAAAACACATGCGAAGTCATAGTCTAGTAAAAAGTGTCGTCAGATGGAATGATATTTAAACAACACGTATTTATATTTTAAATTCTAAGTAAACTGTTGCAAATATTTTAACACCGTCTGTGCTCAAGTTTAACTGAATATGCATACTTTATTTCATTTTACAGGTCTGCATGGTTATATCTGGACTTCTCCAATATGCTGTTCTAGCAGCTTTCTTCTGGATGCTTTTAGAAGGAATTTTGTTGTACAGACTGGTGATAGTCGTTTATGAAGTAAAGAAGATACGATTACCTCTAGTTTATGGTTTAGCATACGGTAAGTGAAAAAATGTTCAGAAATGTAACTGAAATTTAGCTTCTCATATTTCTGTTAAATACCTTGAAGCCGGTCCCGATTCATAAAGACGGAGACCTAGGGCAAAACCTGTTACAAAGCCCCTTTCCCCCTAAATTTTTTAATGTAGAAAATGTCACTGATGTAAGTTATATTTTATGTAAAGTGAATATTGGATAAAATATGCCGTGAAATAACTTTATAAATTCAAAGTTAATTAAAGAAAAATTTTCTTTTATTAAAGAAGAAAAATTTGAAAATGCTCAGGTTTTAACGGTTGCCGAAAGAGTTTGTTAAGATCTACGCTCTCGCTGAACTCGCAGACTACCATCTCTGCTGTTACACTCACACCTGCTAACCCATTTCTTTTTGTATTTATGCAGATTTCTCATTATTTAATTGCTTTAAAAGTAATAAAGGGCGATCGTTTTTCGTGGCAACAATTTAAAAAGTGATTCAGATATTTAAAGCGATACGCCACCAAATGCCTTTTCGTAACAAATAGCCCATTTGAGCTAACGCCCTTTGGACTAAAAAGATAAATTTCACCATTTTTTATGTTTCGTTTTGACAGTTTTAATTTAGTATATGCTTTGTAAAATATCAACTCACATCGTCAACTCGGATCTTGCTTTTTTTCCTGAATGGAAATGAAGAAAAAAGAAAAAAGAACCTAAAGAAGTCTTACTCATTTTGTTACGAAAATTTATTTACAGAAGTATGACTAAATTAATCCAATTAAATTGCTAATACATTCAATAACAATGTGCATGAATATAATGTAGAATTCAAAAATTCAGTTTCTTTTAAACATGGTTTCCATTGTCGATGTACTTAGAACTGAAACACAATGATTTCATTTTATATTTAAAGAACTAAATTTATAATGTCAGTAACAGAACTCAGCAGCTATTTTCAGCGTATTTGGACTTATAGTCTGCTACTTTAGAAAAGGCACTTCCAGGCATCTGCTTCATAGTACAAACATTAAGTATAACATTATGAATAACATCAATCAGTTCAGGTAGGTCAATATTAGTAAGTTCTGTCTTAATAGCAATTAGTCCTGAAGCCCTGTTATTATTTAGATTCTCAGTAGCCTTCCTCACTTCACATAATGATGGTGCATCAGGTTCCAGAGTTCGATCAATTTCAGCAACATTCAGGTCGGTAGTTAGGTCTGTCGCCTCCTTTGGAAGAAGATCTCTAAAGAACTTTCCCCATCTTTCCAGCACTTCAACTCGATTACTTGTAAGCTCGCCATCACCTTTCCTACAAGTTGTGGCGCTTGATTGATGCTCTCATGGTCTGGACCAGGTATCCAAATCCTTCCAATTGGCTTGCCATTTCTTGTTGTTGGACTTGTCCAGAAGCTTCCATCCAGTTTTCGGCCATTTCAGTTCGACAAGTGTTCGGGCGCCAATGTGATATTGCGCGGCCCCAACCTACACGCAACAATAATAGTGACTGCTATGAACTGGAAAGTACACAAAACTCTTAAGAAGGGTTTAACTCCCTTTTTAATAACTTTAGAAGTTACAGATGCGTGCACTTGACGCTCACAAACTACGCCGACCCGGCGGTAAAATAAAAATAAGAAACTAAAAATGAATAATAACAAGTTACTACCTACTACGAAGCTCTCTAAACGTAACTAACCTAACCGCGTTCTAAGATACAGCTGATATTCAGCAAACTTCTCTGAATATTAACTTGAAAGATTCAACTATCTCTGCCGAGGCAAGCACACAGGCCCGAAACGCGCGGTTCTTCAATTTCTACCTAGCCACCTTCACGCTCGTGAAGCAAGAAAGCACACCTTACGAACTTGTTTCCCTTCTATTTAACTCAAATTACTTCCGCTGACAATTTGAATACTTTGCGCGTTCTACTAAATTTTACATACTCTGGCATTGGCAATTCCAGGGGAAAGTAAGGCTTGACAGGAAAGATAGTTTAAACTTAAACTTAAAATAAATGTTAGTTAAAATAAATATAAACCCTACATTTGCCGCTGCCAGAATTTGGTAAACTTGGAAGCAGGTCCTAGAAACGACCTGTTGAAAAGTTTCCATATTCTGAACTAAAATTTAAGAGCCTCGTTTACATAAAACAAACTGTTTTCTCACAAAGTAGAATAAATTTCTGTAGATAATCATTTTACCCTCTCTTCTTACAGCAACCTTTCCTGGACTTCAGCAATCAATCTGTTCTCTTCCTTCCAGCATCTGGAAGGAATAAGTATCAGTATCTTTCTAAATACATTATAATTTACACTTTCTTGACACTGAATAAGTTTTTGTTCGTTTTATTTTTCTTAATTACTACTTAATTCACATTCATTCAAGTATTCAAACATGAATTTAACTTTACCCTGGCTCTCCACCATGTGTGGTGTCAAAACGGGAATATTCGTGTTTTAGTATTGCAACATTTCCCCTTACCACAATGATTTGTTAGCATTCAACGACCAAATAGACACACCTTACTCGATATTCTAAAACTCGATGAGCTATTTTAACATTCTTAAAATTCAAGTGTAGGTGGAGAACCCTACAAAACACATTCATTCTAACTTCCCCCTCATTCATCTTTAGACATGCAGGCTTTCGCTCTAAAGCATGATTTTATCTACATTTTAATACTTAATTTGAATTCATTGCTTTTGAGCATTTACTTTTAGCATCTAAAATTTTATGCTTCTAGACTAAATTGTACTTTTACATAACTTTCAAGTATTTACGTATATTTACAAACTTCTAATACATATGATTTTTACAATTTACCATAAAATGAATAAGAGAAAAATAAATTTTTTTTACTTCACGCATTCTTCGCCAAGCTGGCGGCACTGAAACTAAAGTTCTCATTAATACAAGAATACGAAGTTATTTTACTTTCGGCCAAATTTTGGCTTGAACATAACAGAATTAGTCTTTCGACCAACAGGAACTGCTTGTTCTTAGATTTTATACTTAAAGAAAATAATACTTTTTGCCTTAGCTAAATAAAGTAAAACAAAACTAAGTCTCAACCGAGACACATTGACTTCCGTCAAAACATAGAACTTCGTATTTACGCATAACATTTCGGAACAAAAGAAAAAAAAATATAGAAGATTTTAACTTATATTTGAGTTTTCGATGATTGGAACTCCGACATCCTCTTCTGGCAGAACTGCTCCCACGTTATAGGTTTCATCGACGTCAGTCGTCTGCTTTGTGTTTTTCGAGTTTCGGCCATGTTGATTTTTCTTTTTCGCCCTCTGTATGCAGGCCTCTTGGAGTGGTAGTCGTCGGGTTGCTGTCTTTTCCGTTTTGCACCTGGACGGCTGGTCTTGGCGTCTTCCGGTCTGGAATCGTGCTTGAATTTCTTCTGTTGGTGGTGGTCTTTTCGTTCCTCCCGCTGCCTTTTCGTTCTCGTGAACGGCGGCCTTGTTTTCTCCTGACTATCTGGCCCTGGAAGTGTTTTCCCTCGATGCAGAATTTCTACTGCGATACGTTGTAACTGATCTTTTCCTCTTTACCAAAGATTCTTTACACGGCGGCGTTGCTTTCTTGTATTTCTTAAATGCTGGAGTCTGAACATTTTCATTTCTTCTTTTCGGTACCGTCGCATGACTTGTAGAAGGGCTAGGTTTCTCTTCAGTTCTCTGCTTCTTGGGTGGTGGAGCAGGTGACGTTACTTCTGGACCTTCCACTTCTTTTACGCTTGAGTCCTGCAAGAAACTTTTAAGAATTTCAAAATCATTTTGATTATAATATTTTTTCACCTGGTCGGGACTTGCTTTACAGATTTCCCCTCTCTCGTTCTTAAGGTACAATACGACTCCCTTGATTTCCTGAATTACATAGAGGCCTTCAAATTTTGGAGCTAACTTTGCAGTAAAATTGTCTGGGGCACTTGATAAAGAAAATTTCCGCTTCAACACTTTATCCCCAACTTTAAAATCTGCTTCACGGCGTTTTCTATCATAGTATAATTTCTGTCTATTTCTTATTGAATCGATATCTGTGTGTTCAAAGTTTTCGGGGTCTTTCAAATACGCAAAGATACTTCCAAATTCAGGATCAGCTTTCAATTCAGCAATAATTGTTTCTCTAGAATCTAAAATTTTTGAAGTCAACACAGCGCATTTGACTTCATTTCCTTTCATCGTCCAGTTTTATACGAGATAGTGCATCAGCTACATTGTTTTCCTTACCCCGGTTTATATTTAATTATAAGGTTATACTCTTGAAGTTTTAAAGCCCATCGTATTAACCTGGGCGTTAGGTTTTTCCCCGAGTAAAGTCTGCCAACAGCCGAATGATCCGAAAAGACTGTTACTAGCGCTTTGCCGAAATAAACTCGAAATTTGTGTACAGCCATTAATACGGCTAACGTTTCTCTCTCTGTAGCTGTATAATTCCTTTGCGTAGGGTTCAAAGTTTTACTAAAAATGCCAAAGAATGGCCATTTTGCATGAGAACAGCACCTACAGCATAGTCCGACGCATCTGCTGCAATTTCCAAGTTTTCGTCCCCCTCCGGGAATTTCAAAACAGGGGCATTGATGAGCCCTTCTTTTAACCTTTCAAATGCAGTATTTGCTTCTGCTGTCCACGTGAATTTACTTTTCTTTCTTTTAATTACTAACAAGGTTCAACAATATTAGCAAAATCTTTTATGAATGACCGATAATAAGAACATAACCCAAGGAAAGAAGAAAGTTTCTTGGCGGTGTTGGGAGGTGGGAAATTCTTGATGGCTTTTTATTTTTGAATCCTGAGTTTCTATCTGTACCCTTTTGCGAAATTTTATAACCCAGATATTTAAGTTCTTTAGTTGCGAACTTGCATTTTGATGCATTAATTGTAAGACCGGCCTCTTTTAATAATTTAAAAACTTTTAAGTCTTTAATATGTTGTTTCAACGTATTACTCGTTATAATTATATCATCTAGATAGATTAAAGTCGATTTTCCTAGGACAGGCTTTAGAA